TGAGGGCGTTGATATACCGTGTTTTCACGGTATTATTAATACTTTTTCCGTAAGTTTAGTGTGTCCAAAAGCCTTTTTGTGCTAATTTTTATGTAAGTTACTCTTTATTTGCAGGAAATCTGTCTAAAAGATGAATGCGGAGGATTTTGAGCGAGAAATACATAAAAGTACCACCTATGGAGCTTGTGACGGTTCGTCGTGCTTGTGACGGTCCGTACGTGGCATCGTAGTGCAGCTGCTGAAGGAAGATGGGGAATTTTGACCAAGTGTGGGGTTACGGAGTGCGTGACGGACCGTCGTAGCCATGACGACCCGTCCTGCTGGTTTGTCATGAAGTTCAGAGAAGTAGTCCCAGTACCCAAATTCCAATAGTTTAAGTGTTTTGGAACGGAGACCCTCGACGGACCGTTGTGCTTGTGACGATCCGTCATACCTGCCGTCGAGGGTAATGAAGAGAGCAGCAGAATATATTGCACAAGTATGGAATGACAGATTCCATGACGGTCCGTCGTGACTACAATGATCCGTCGCGAGGTCCGTCGATCCAGCCGCATTTTGACAGATTTCCAGCTAATAGAGTCCTTATTTAATTAGGTTTTTATTTTTTACAAATAGTTCGAAAAACCTCGTTTTAGAGGTTAGACCCTTGATCATTGTTAGATCCTTGATTATTGTTAGACTCTTGATTATTTTTAGACCCTTTGTGAGACTCTTGGATATTTTGAGACTCTTGTAATTGATTTTTGGTGATTTTTGTTGATTAATCAAGCGATCTTTCGGATTTTACTCTTTCTCATTGAAGTAAGTACATGGATACTTATACCATATATTTGAATATTGTGATTATGACTATGGATAATTAAACTCCATAACTAGGGTTGTGGGGAGCATAGGCGAATAATGAGGTAAAACCTAACTAAAATAACAATTCTAGAATAGTGTCTTGCATGTATTGATAATTCTTTCGCTTAGAAGTCTTTTTAACGGATGGCCAACGTTAGAACTCGCCTTAATGCTACTTGCCGGACAAAGGAGGTAGATAATAGGAAAAGAATTATCAACATAGATTTAGTGTATACTATCTAATAGGCTAGTATTGATTGGTACGAGGTAATAACTTAGTCAAATATTGAATACGATCCTTAATATGAGGTAAAGATAAGAGTTAGTATAGCAACACACATAGCCAGACCAAGGTGCGGAGTGAAATTTTTAAGATGCCAGACCAGGGATTTAGAAATACATAACTTATCACTTTCCATGCAAGATACTAGGAAAAAATTGTTATAGTTAGAATTATCAAGTTATGAACTTGTGGGGAACATGTAAACCCTAGTTACCTTTATTAATTGATTAAACTCCAACATTTTAAGCTGTTAGTCGTCTCTTTTAATTTCGCTAGTTATTTTCATTTATTTAGAAATATAAATCCCCCTTTTTATCATTTTTGCTTTCCAAGGAAGTAATTGACTGAATGATAGTAATAATAGATTGAAGTTAAGTCTAAACTCGTGGGAACGATCTCAACCTCACTAGTTGGATTATTTACTTGACGCGACCACTTTACTTCTTATTTGAGAAGTAAGTTTGAGTGTATCACCTATCGTTAAAGGAATCCTAGTCGGAGCGACTTTTTAAAATGCGTGCAACATGAAAAGTGGAGAGGAGATGTGAGAAACACGGAAAAGAAAAACTAGCGATCAGTTAAGAAACAGAGAAGTGAGTTTCTTAGACAAATTTAATCAGCACTAATACAAGACTTTTAGTTTATGAATCAAACTTTGTTTCCTAGTGATTTAAAGAGGGACTTGAGTGCAATCCCGTCAAAGTAGAAAAATCAACAACTTTCGCTGCAAATTACAAGGTACACATCTCGATATTGATTTGACTTATAATTTCTTCAGATACATTATTCACTTTAAAGAAACATATGTTGATCAATATTTCTACAATATGACATACGAATTTTATTTCAACAACAATTTCTTGATATGAATGTGTCTATAAATGGAGTTTATAGATTCTTACAGAAGATACAAACTTTAAGGTATGAGGTACACTTGCAAACATAATCCATGTTACTTATGTCACATATAAACTATTTGTTATTACAATATTAAATAAAAATAAAGAAAGTGTTGTACTAAGTATAAGATATATTAGAACTATGTAAGAAAAATGTCACATATACCGATTCAATTGATTGTGTAAAATTACAAATAATTATACTTCTCTTTAAAATTTAGTTACTCAATATCACTCACAAGTTTTAGCAGCATCATATATATATATATATATATATATATATATATATATACACACACACACTATTATACCATCCATATTTTTAAAAAAAGTTGTCATTGCAATTATATTTCGTATAGTTCATAAATATCTAATATTTAATTTTGATATATCAAATAAATAATTCAATATTCGAAAAAAATCAAATTGACTTTTCCAAAATTGAAATGTATCAATTATTTTATGATTGAGGGAGTAACTATTTGTAGTTTCTACGTGGTGAGAATATCATTAACCAATAAAAGTATACTCTCTATAACAACTTAAGTTTTTAGATGAGAAAGTCACACAATCCAACATGGTATCAGAGCAAGTAGAGATGTTGAGATTGAATCTTTACTTCCACCCAAAATTAAAAAGAAATTCCATGTATTTGACCCATAAAAAAGAATCAGGCACATACGTGAAGCGGCATGTTGAGAATATCATTAACTATTAAAAATGTGTTATTTCTAGCCACTTAAGTTATAAATAAAATGATGACATACTCCAACACTATACTTTTTTAAAAAGAAAAAAAATAAACATGCATACATATATTGGGGATTCCGGAACCTAAATAAGTCACAAAAAAATAAAAGTGACCAAAATAAGTCACTATTTTAGGAAGTAACTAAAATAGGCATATTGGAAGAAAAAAATTTCATTTCATCCAATATTTCAAACGTTTTCTGTTAGTCCATAACGAGTATATTTTAATCTATAACAGAACTATTTCTTACACTTTATAAAGTATAAGAAATCTTGCACTTTGTAAAGTGGAACTTTTTTCTTGTACTTTATAAAGTGGACTTACATTCTACAAAGAGGAATAATTTTCAAGTTTTGCTCTCTTTATGATGCTTTTGTAGTGTTTGTCATACAATTATATTGATTTGACATATCATAAAAATAAAAAAATTATTACACTAGGTATTTTTATTTTTTAAATTCTGAAAGCTCATTCAAACTCTATTTAAGGACATCCAAACATAGCACATTCATCATCTTTAGTCTTTTATTATTTTTCATTTCAATCACAAAATAATGTCTTCTTAACCAAAAGTTAGAATTTTGATTTATTGAGATGGTGAAATTATACATGATGGGGATACCGTTTATTATAATTGTCCTCTCAAACACAATACTAAATATTCAATTAATATCTGATATCATATATTTCTTTCACCAATTTATAAAAGAATGGGGTATAAATAGTATTATTATGATTATAGTCTTAAAATACTTACTTCATTAGGACAAGTAAACTTTGGAGAATGGATTATCTATAATGAGGAAAATTGATTGACTTTTTGAGGGTTCCAAACTTGAAATCTATGTTAGAAAGGACCCTAAGACTAGCCAACAATGTTCTCCTTTATCGGTCGATTGTTCATCCCCAATTAGAAAATCATAATACCGTTGATGGATTTCTGATAACTCAATCTACTGATTTTTCTAACATGACTCATCATAAAAATATTCTTACCGATCAATATGATTTTGATTTGAACGAAACTATCAATGAAAGTGACTGGTAATGCTCAATAATTATATTTCGATTATTATTTGTTCATTTTGTCAATTATTTATTAATTTATATGATTTATTATCATTCTTATTGTTATTATTATTATTATTATTATTATTATTATTATTATTATTATATATTTTGTAATGGTTTACTGCAGCAAGATAGGAATATTGCTTCAAGTTATGGACTAGATACTTGTTTTGATCAGTACTCAAATTTGAAATGATGGAAAACATTGGGTCATTGTCAAATTTTCATGTGTCACCTATTTTTTATCCAAATGATTATCAATATGTTCAACACGTGATCTTTTATTTAAGTAAGTATTTTATTGCATGTGATAAATATTTATATATTTTTTACATATATAGGAAAAATAACTCAATTGTATGACAAACACAACAAAAAATTCATAAAGAGAGCAAAATGTGAAAAATATTCCTTTTCGTAAAGTGAAAGTTTTTCTTTCACTTTATAAAATATAAGAAATAGTTCCATTATATAATAAAATAAAAACTTTCACTTTATAAAGTTTAAGAAGTAGTTTCACTACATATTAAAATATAAACTTATGGGATAACAGAAAACATTTGAAATATTGGATTAAGCTTTTTTAGTGACTTTCTTAAATAGTAACTTATTTTGATCACTTATATTTTTTTATGACTTATTTAGGTTTCGAACTCCATATTGGGGTATTGTATATATAGGGACAGAATCTTCTTAATTACAATTCCTTTTGCGGTGTTACCAGTCCAATCAAAGACACTAGTCTACCATGACAAATTTCAAGTCCCTAATTTCTCTTGTATAATAATATACTATAAATGAAACTAATTAGTTAACACTAGACGTGTATAACAACTCACGGTATATTTTCATTTCAAATGATGCAGTTAGTTACTTACCCTTTCATGTGTTGGGACCGAATTGAATAGATTTATCTCTTAAAAGAATAACAAACTTTTCACTAAAGGGAAGGGCAATTATGAAAAAAGATAATTAAACATTCATCTCTAGTTTTAAATATTCCATTATTTTGAATAATGCACATTAATTCAGGTAATATAGAATAAAGAGAGGAGTAATTTTTTGGTGTTTGCACTGCCTTTCTTGATAAAATGTTGAGAAGTACAAAAAGATTGACAAATATATTGACATGAAATGTGTAGATGACAGGACTTGTAATGCCAGACAAGAGGACAGTTTATATACTGATAATTTTCTAACTTGAGCCAGCCAGCCAGCCAGCCAGCCAAGTTACATCCATCCTTAATGCAGAAAAGCCTCCTTTTCATACTTGTCAACCTCACCTTTCTTGAAACCCAACAAAAGGGGACAATCTCAGAGAGCAATAAGGATGAAACGGCCAACATAACACCTAGAACCGGCTATGTTTGCAGTGGAAATGACTGTCAAGCTTTTAGCAATGGAACACACATTTCATGAATGATTTCAATGATTCAGTTGAGACGTACGGCCTTTCCATTCAATGGTACATCACTACGAGAGCCTACTGACCTGTAAAAGCTATGGTCTTCCCAAGAATGAACGTTACCACTGTCAATTCTATGAAGAAGATTGTATTGATCAAACCTCTATCAACTGTCCATCCAAATATGGTTATTCCTCCAGGATTGTTCTGCAAATACATCAATGCTAAACCAATTATACATAAGAGTGAGGGTGTATAATACGCCACAGAAAGAAGACAAGACAACAAACAACACCACTTTTGGCATTTGAGGGTGTAGTTGTTGCATCAATTTCACTCCATTAGGAACGTTGTCATTCCATGGAAAAGGGAGGAAGAAATGATAGCATAGACATTAGATTGATCAAATAAAAGTGTTACATGCATGTCGCTAAGACCTTGAAAGGCAGGGGAACCCTTTTTCTTTTCTATCTTTTTAGTAAGTGCATCAAGAAGTAGAGTTTTTGGGTAACGACCCATATTTGAGCAAGTGCCACAGACATCAATTCTGTTAACCAGCAAAAACACAAACTACACAATTTATAGAATTTTCTGCCCATACTTATCCATAAAAAAGTGAAATTTTTTATTTCCAGAACCTTGCTTAGGTAATTAAACGCTTCAACTTTTTGCAAACATGTATAGACAAAAAAGAATCCTGGTTCTGAAAGTCAACAATTACATACCTAGGGCTTGTCTGTTGTGATAGGAGGACATGTAAGAAGCCAATTGTGTATTTGTTGGTTCTGTTACAAAATCTACAGACTCCAAATCACTTTCTGAGAAGTTCATATAGAATGAGTTAGATCGATTGGCAGCTTCCAGGCAACTCATGCTAGTTGAGTTTCTCATTTGTGACGCTTCACCAGAAGTGCATGTAGCCAAAGCATGCCACCTACTCGCTATTGATCCAACACCTTGGGCTCTGTGGGATATTTTTGCTGCAGCATTCAAGCAAAGGATCACCCCAACAACCTGAACAATCGAGTAGACCTGAAGAGGGAAGAACGATAAAAAATTAGCCTTGAAAGTAGAGCTTCCAACAAAAAATGAACCATGACAGCTATTGAAGTACATGAAAATGCACATAAAGAAGTGCAATGGACATGCGAATAGAAGGTTGATTACCTCAGCTACGAAAAGATTTTCCGAAATTCTCACACAAGTATGAACAGATTGAATATTAACAACATTAACCAATGTGCTGACCATATACATGATAACTAATTACATTTCGGATCAATTGAAAACTACAATATTCAGATTACATTTGTCTATTAAAAGAAAGGACGTCAAAACTTACTGCAAAATCACCATCATTTATGTAAGTAATCAGCCCAGTATAACCAGTTATCTGGAAGAGAGTCATAAAATGGCTCACAAAGACAATTAAGAACAACAGCAAGAGATAGATTCGAAATCTATGGCTAATTTTGGAGAGGTAATAACGTAGGCGAACGTGCTCTTGTATCAAAACAAAACAATCAGGCTCTCTTTCCAAGAACTTTACATAGTCATCAAAGTGTATAATCTGTAAGCTGCAGACCAGGTGGAACAAAACACAAGCTGACAAGAAAATTGCAGTGATATAAGTCCATGATGAAACAAAAGCTAATGAAATGGCAGCGGATTTCCACCATGAGTCGTTTTGCACATATACAATGCGAATTATTTCACGTGCAGTCTTCAAAAGGAAACATGGGAGCACCCACAATAATAGCAAGCGAACAGAATCCTACAAAACAAAATAGGGTAAACATTTTAAGTCCTAAATAAGACATGGGAATATATGAAAGTAGACAAGTCTTAATTGGAAACCTAGTTTATTAAGTACTAGTTAGGCTTAGGCTAGTAAACTTACCTATTTTGACTTCACTAATTTACTTTGCCCGATCAGGCATAAAGAAATATGATGTTGCCAATTTCTTTAATTTTAATACAGTAAATACTACAGAATCAAATAATAGAACTTGTCTTTCATCACAACATACACTTAAGTTTGGTGTTTGTTTGAAGATGGTTTTACGATAGAGGAGGATAGGATGCGGTTTCTAAACCATCAATTTCAGCTCACACCTTTAAACATTAAATAAACCCTATTCACCAGATCTCAGCACATCCTTTTGTTTTCTAATTAATAAATTAATAAATAACATTCAGTACATTCAAATTCCTATATTTTTCATGTAGACAAATAATACTGAAAGTAGATCTAAGGAAATATATATATATATAATACATGGCATCACAGATATTAAGATTTGCACGCCACTCACATGGATCTTGTGATGATATTGATTACTGAATCGCTCGATATGTCCGCTGACAAAGAGGAACTTGCGTATTCCGTACTTTCGAAGGTTATGTGAAAGGCAAAGCAAAGATACAGCGGCAACAAGAGCTTGAGAAACTAAAATATCAAACTTAAAACTTTTAATTTGAGGATTAGAGACCTCCAGCATAATCATAGGAAGTAGAATCCCTAATACCAAAAATAAAATCCATGATAGCACAAACCTTAAAACTGAAGACTGATTCAAACCCAACAAAGTGAGAAATAATTCTAACTTTTCAAGAGTTTTATCTAAATCAGTATCATGTCCTTGGGATTTGAGCAGGGGAGGAGTTTCTTCCTCTTCTTGTACATGGACTATGAGGAGGCTCTCATCCATTTGAACAAATTCGGATTAATCAATCAAGTCAAACAAATAGAATAGAGCACATCATCACAACAAATCATGTGTTGGACAAAAGGTTACGTAACAACGATTTGTTTAATATAATAAATACACTCATCACTCTTCATTTTTTGCTGCAATAAGGGAAAACCAAAGTCTTCGTTTGTATCAAACATCAATTTGAATCCTATTTAGGTGGCAACCAACTGTTTTCTCTTTTTATTTGTCACAGTTTAACTCTAATATATCTATTGTCAAAAGAATAATTACTGTAATAAATTTAACATTTTAATTATATTAATTGATGAGATTTCAAATATATTTATTCACTATATCTTTTAAACAGAATAACTCATTATTAATAAATGGAGGATACAATAAAAATATTATCCTTCTTTTTAATTTATCAAAAATAATAAAATAAAAAGGAAGATTAAATCAGAAATATTTAATACTCCTCTGTCTCTTTTTTACTTGTCCACTTTTCAATTTATACACTTATTAATAAAATAATTAATAACGTTGTGAGTTTACCATTTTATCCCTATTAATCCTGAAGTGGATAAAAAAATTCTATATATTTTAAAGTAATTAGTCATTTAATTAAGGTATAATAAGTCAAAAAAATCTTAAAATTTTTTTGTTATCAAAATGAATAAGAAATAGAGATAAGTATAAAAAAAAGTGCACAATTAAAAAGAGACGGAGGGAGTAAGTAAGAGCATGTTTGGCTCAGCTTAAAAGCTGGTCAAACTAACTTAAAAGCTGGTTTTTGACTTATTTAGCTGTTTGGCAATACTCAAAATAACTTATTTTAAGTTAAAAAAAAAACTTATTTTAAGCCAAAAGTTAAAAGCTGGAGTAGGGGTGCTTTATTTTTTTTTAGCTTATAAGTTGTTTAAGTTGACCACATTTTTATTTTTTTGCCCTTAATATTTTTATACAATCTCCAAATAACCCACATAATCCTAACATCTCTTTCTTCCATTTTTCCCTTTTCACGTTTGGCATAGCAACTTCAGCAGTTTAATCCAAACGCATAACTGTTAATTTTAAAAATAAGTTTCAGCACTTTCAAAAATACTTTTTAAATATGCTTTTATTAAGCCCATCCAAACGGGCCCTAAATTAGATGAGGAGGAGCATTCTTCTTCTACCTTTTGTTTAAGCAATATTCTGACGATTGCTCCCTTAGATACTCTCTTTACTCGTACTAATTAAACCCAACATATTTGGTTCAATATGTATTCTTTTTCATCTAAAATAATTACAAATGTATATATCTATCTCATTAGCCTTTAGTTTTGAGCTATTTCAATAAATATGTTCCTCAACTCATCTGATTTGTACTTTTTTTTATCCTCAATTACTTGTCCATTTTTGAATTAATACATTTATTAAGAATGTAATAATTGATATAGTAAGTGTACCGGTACCGGTTCATTCCGGTTCTGGTCCGGTCCGATCCGGTTCCGATCCGGTTTATTTAATATATATTAATTTTTTTATATTTTATATTTTATATAATTTATATTTATATTTTTATAAATTATAATTTAAAATTTAAATTTTTTCAATTTTCCGCCCCTGCCCGCCGCTGCAGCCTGCAGACTGCAGTCTGCATAAAGCAGCACTGCAGCTGCATTGAAGGCAGCCCCCCCCCCCCCGCCCACTATCCTTTTCCCGAGAACAACTTTAAAGTTTAAACGGAAAAATTAAAACGGCTAGTTTTTTTGCTGTATAAATTAGAGTTGTGCGTAAAATTTTTATAATTACAAGTTTACAACTTACAAATATAAGTCTGAGTATTTGATAGAATATATATTTCCAAATTACATTCATATTTATAACTTATATCATTTGGTCATTTGGTGTATTTCGGAGGAGGAATCTTCTTCAAATTTCAAGTTTTGACATCAATATTTTAATTTTCATTATAATCGTTTGTTCTTATACAAACATTTGGTAACTTCGTTCCACTCTCTAATCTTATATTTATTTTTTATATTTATAATTTATTATTTAACTTGTAAGTTGTTCTTGTTATATTATTGTTCTTGTTAAGTTTCGTATTTTATAATTTATAATTTTATATCATGGAGTCTTCTAAAAAAGTGGAAGTAAAAAAGGTCAAGTAGAATCAGTAAAAAAATTAGTTAAAAAAACTAACAAAGGTGCTAGTTCGTCTAAATCTAAAATTCCTCTTGTTAGAATAAATACAGATGAATTTACGCATGTGAATGAAACTAGTTTTTTCCGTCCCGGTCCTATAAATATTAATTCAGATAGTCCGACTCCGCATGAACTCTATGAAAGACATTATGGTATTAATCAAGAAAAATAAGAAGTGGAAACGGATGAACAATTAAATTTAGATGAAGAAGTAGATTTAGATGATACACCGACTAGCCCCGCCGCCGACCTCAATACAGTCAATAGTATAGGTATTGAAGCTCCACCTCCGGTTGGAACTACTCGTCCCCCTATTATTCCAACTAGAGGTAAGACCAAGGTACAACGTTCTTTAAAATCACATGTGTGGAAATTTTGTTATTTGAATGAAGAAAAAACTTTTAGTATATGTAATCTTTGTAAACAACATTTTAAATATACATCTGGTGGGACGGGAGGTTCAATAGGGGGATTAAAAAAACATTTGATTAACAAGCATAGTAAAGAGTGGTTTGCATATATGTCTTCTCTTGAAGTTGTTGGAAATTGTAATGTTGAAGAATCGGTTAGAGGATCAAATATGGTTCAAAGTGAGTTAAATACTTCGAACCCAAGTGGTCCTCTTACACATCGAACCAATAACAAGGATCGTGATCGTGAAAACTTTGCTAAAATTGGTTGTTGTTTGTGGTTTACCTTAGTTTTGGAGAACATCCGGGTTTTATTGCTTATATTCGTGAAACATATAATCCTAGTTTTCAAGGTTTATGAAGAAGCATGGTAAAAAGAGATATTTTCGAATTTCAAGAAAAACATTGTCAATATTTACGTGCCTATTTTGAACTAATGGATTGTAGAGTTGCTATTACTACTGATATGGGTCGTAGTCCTAATGGTTTTGATTATTTAACTGTTACTGCGCATTGGATAGATTATAATTGGAATTTAAAAAAAGAATTATTGGTTATAAAATTTGTCAAAAGAAAAAAATCGGAATTTATATTGCTACTACTGTGTTGGAAATTTTAGATTTTTTTGGTCTTTGTGATAAAGTCGTAAGTATTACTTTAGATAATGCCTCTGCTAATTTAAATGCTATTAATTTGCTAGAAACCTAGACTTTGTCCTATTAGTAAGTATGCTTTTCATGTTAGATGTGTCGAGCATATATTAAATTTGGTTGTTAGTGACGGTGTGAAATTATTTGAAAATAGTTGTGATAAAATTGATAATGCTTGTTTTTACATTTTTCATATGAATAGTAGTAGTAGAATTAATCAATTTAAAGAACTTTGTAATGCATTTAAACTTCCGTTTAGAAAAGTTCTGAAGCATGTAAAAACTAGATGGAATTCCTTTTATGATATGCTTGAAATTGCTTATGCATATAGGCAACCTATTACTACGCTATTTAATAATCATAATGCTTATCCTGAATTTAAAATTAATGATAGTGATTGGGATGAAGTAAATGAACTTAGAATATTTTTGAAATCATTTTATGATGCTACTAAATTTTTTTCTGGAATATATTATCCTACTATTTTTGAAATTTTAATACACATATGTGAGATTTCATCTATTTTTTCTGAATATAAAACAAATACTTTATTCACCTCTGCTATTGAAGTTATGATTACAAAATTTAAAAAATATTTTTTTCCTATTCCTCAAATTTATTTAACTGCCCTTCTTTTCAACCCCGAATATAAAGAATATGGTGCAAAAGCTTTAGTTGAATGCATTTATCAGAATTTAGATATTCAACCTGAAGAAGAACCTGATTTGGTAACATGTCAAAATAGTATAAAATACTTTGCAAAAGAAATGTATGATAAATATTCATTCTTAGATAATGTTGAAAATCCTCAAACGTCTACGAATCAAGTAGGTGCTCATGGACGAGTGAAACATAAACTTGGTCTTGACTCTTCTAATAAATGTGAATTTGTTAAATATCTTGAACAGGGTATAGATGATATTACAAACGATAATGGTATACCGAAACTATTGAACTGGTGGAGAAATCGTGGAGCTCAATATCCAAAACTTAGTAGGATGGTGAAGGATGTGCTTGCAATTCAAGGATCATTAGTAGCTTCGGAGGCAGCTTTCAGCGCGGCAATATCCGTTAGCAGAGGACAGCCTGGAGATATCAGTGTTATTTAGAGACTGGATAAATGCTGAGCGTAGAAATCAAGGACTTCCAAAGTTAGATAGTCAATTTGAACTTTTCATAGATTCAGCTATTGGATGTGGTAGTGATGATGGAATCGAAATTCAAGATCGTCAACGAGCTTTACCAAGACCAGAAGTTGATCACAATCAATCCCTAGCTGAGTTAGAAAGAGGATTTACGGGACTATACAACTATTAGTATTACATTTGAGACATAGTTGAAACAGAACCCTTCCTAGAAGGTGGCTGCGTAAGCTATGTACTCTACTAATAGTTGTAAATTGAAATTGTAATTTGTTACAAATTTAAATAAATTAAATTGATATTTTTTAATTTTTGTAATTGTTTTATCCTTATTTTAATTTACTTTTTTAAAATTACAAATTTTATTTATTTAATATTTACAAGATACAAGTTATAAATATAACTTATAAAATAAATATTAATGAATATAAGTAATAACTTATAAAGTATAAAGTTCAAAAGATTTAAATTTTGAAAACTTTATTAGATTACTTGCAAACTTAACAATAATAAAAAAAATTAATAAAATATCTTTAAAATAAACTTAAGTTAAAAATTATAGTATAAATTTAAAAACTATTAATTTATACTTAAAAAATAAAAAAAAATTATATTTTCAT